CTCCTCTCCTTTCCTCTCCCTTATCTTTTATTTCCCCTATCTTTGCTTTTCCCTTTTTTCTTCTTTCGGTAGGATAGTGATAGATGTACTAGTTTGTGTTGTCTCCTGGGAACCAAGGATTGGGTGCGCTGTTACAATGCCATCTGCTGGTAAGATCATCTGGAGTCAAACTGCAGCTTTATTGAGCCTGAACAATACTGTCTCCCTTAGGAGAGGAAATTTGGAAGGAGTCTTTTTCACACGTACTTCCTGTGGCAAACTTTACTGATAACTTGTTACTTTAAAAAGGTATAGAAAATAATGCATTTCTTAGTAATAATTTTTATTTATAGGAACTTCAGAATAGTAAATATTCTGGTCATTTTTTATTCAAAGATCTTGATAATGATAAAACAAAGTTATATATTTTTCTAGAGTTAAGGGGGAAAAAATTTCCCCATATATTTTGATTTTCTTTTGTGTACAAATTAGGGAAATGACATTGTGGTCAGGGTTTTTTAAAAAAAAATCCTTTTTTATAAAAGACAGATTGTGTTTGTGTACTCTTTTGAGTGGGGATAGACTTTCATGGTATTTAAACATTTAGTAGGAACACCAGGTTAATGAGATGTGTTGAATATAATAAACTAGTTGCCATCCATGACTAAAAACATGTTTGAAGTAAAATTGAACCTCTCTTAGATGGAAAGGCAAAGTTATTATTTCCTCTCATAGTACATCTGTTTAGGGCTGGCTGACTAATCCTTTAAGAAGCTGCTGAACTTCCTCCAAGTGCTGAAAACCTAATTCTGTTTTAAAAATAGCTGTATGTAATCTTATCTTCATGTGTGTATTTCAAGTGTTTAACACAAAGGATAATTATTTTTGTAAACTAATGATTCCTTAGGCCCAAACTCCAATTGGGGCTTTATGTATGTATGTATGTATATATGTGTATGTATATATGTGTATTTACATTTGCATATATACATATTTTAAGGGGTCCTGAGAAAAATAGTCCATAAGAGTACAGAGTTTGTGAGAAGAGGAGTTGGTTTTTGTTTTAATTTTTTTAGATTTCAGCATAGTGTTAATGTCTCAAATGTGTGAGAATAGGAAACTTTTCTGAACTACAATAATAGTTGCTGATCCAGTAGAATCATAGTGGTAGAGTCCTATCCATAGTGTCCTAGCAGGTTGAGTCCTACCACGAAACTCCTCAGCCTGTCTGAGGAATCTAGGACTAAGCACTTCACCAACCCCTCTTACAAAAATGAAGTATGCTAAAAATACATTTCAACGTGAAATGAACATTGTAAGTGCTCTAAAGCTTCTAATTTTCTGTGCTGTATAAATTCTTTGAACCCAAATGTTAAACTTGGCATCCAGAAACAATTTATTGTTTAAATGCTGCTGATAAAAGAAAAAAGGATAATCCTGGGGAATGATCCTCTTGATAGACTTTCTTTCTCCTTTGCAGTGGCGGATTTCTTCACTTTGCACCTTGCGTTCCCACCGCAGAACAGTTAATAGTGCAGGTTCCTCAAGCCAGCCTGGCTGTTCCCACCACCGCTAGCTCGGGCAAGTTACTCCTTTGTGCCTCCATTTCTTCACCTGGAGATAAATAATACCTGCCTCGCGGGTCTGTGGTGAAGGTTAGATGAGAGGTGCCTTATGAAGCACTTGGAGCACTGTCAAGCACGCAGCAGGCACCCAAACCGCACACTGTCCACTGTCCTCATGCTTGTCCCGCGGATCCCCTTCCCCTTCTCTCTGCTTCTGACCTCTCTCCCCTCAGCCTCCGTACTGCCAGCTCGTGTGTTCCTCTTTATGGTTAGACAGCCAGCATTAATACCTTACCACTCGCTATTGCCTCATCACATCTTACCCTATTTTACTAATTTCTTTTTATATAAGAATTGCTTTTCCCACATGGTTTTTAAAGAATACTTTCAACTTCTATGTTTTGATTAGGTTGACAGATTTTAAAAATTTTCTTCCCAGGGCAGTTTCCATTAAATGAGTTCTATTATGTTTAAAATGAAGGAGAAAAGAACACCTATTTAGTTAATGTGGTGAAACTAAATGATGTATAATGGTTGAATACCTGTCATCAAGGTATGTCTTCTAGCACTGGTTCTGGCTTTGGTGGTGTGTAGGCCAGAACCACTTAACCATAACCATGACTCTTATGGATGACCCTGTTACAGCTATTAATTTAGAGTACAACATGGTGTGTCTTGTATTAGGAGTCTATTCTATGTATGGATGTCAGTAAAAATCATTTACAAATTCTTGCTTATGACCTGTCTCTAAGATGTCTTTAAACACTTCCTTATGCCATTAATAGAAGACATAAGACAAAAGGTGTGACAGGCAGCTATTTGATCTAGTGAGCCTTTTGGTTAAAAATCAATAGATATATGAGCTTTCTTATTCATATCATATCTTTGAAACTTTTCCAGTTTATTTTACTAAGCTGATTGTTCTTTTCATGTGAATCTAATTAAGATGTATTTCCTAGCTTAATGTATAGTTTTGTTTCCTTTCTGTATTATATATAATATGTTAAGGTGCTAGTCCTTGCAATAAAGTTTACTTGCAGTTAAGAAAAAATAATTTAGACAGTGGAAAGGATAGTGTCTTTCTTTGTTTTCCTACTTAGTCAGTGGGGCTTTTCCCTATCATGAGTTCTGTGCTTCTGTAGCTCTTAAAACAAGCACCAGCATTCTCTCAGAAAGCAGCAGTATTTTGCCTGTTTTATTATATTTTTATATCTTGTATGCTGAGATCTTTTTTGGAGAGAGAAACATTTGTTTGCTGAGTTTACATTTCTTGAAATATACATGATTCTTGAGACTGGAATCTAATGAAATCGGACACCCATTTGAAAACCAGAGTTAAGGCTACAACAGGGGATAAAAGTGATCAAATGATTAGCCAGGGGCTAATAGAATTCTGGGAAGAATGACAGATTGTATATTAGAAAGAAATATGATCTCATATTCATTGAAGCTTTTTACAACTAAAGATCTAAAAGAAATAATAGAAAATTACTGAAAGAGATGAATGTCTGAAACTTCAGAAATCCATGTGGTGTTGGATTAATCCAAGCAAGAAAGACTGATGGGCAGATAATAAGTTACATTGTGTAGGAAGTCTGCATTCCTTGTTCTCAGGGTATTTTTGTCTTTTTTTTTTTTTTCCTGGTAAGATATATTTAAGTAGCTCTAGGCCAGCTTCAGAAAATTCAGTTTCTGATTTTTATCATCACACCATATGTGTATGATTCTTTGGTCTAGATAAAGTATTATAAACAGAGACTTCAAATCCTTGAGTGGAAGAAATTAAACCAAATTGGTAGCATTTTTCCTTGTGAGAGTGTAAACAGTATAAAACACCTTTTCACATACAGTCAGTTATAATAACCCTCAAGTCAAAGAGGGTGTGAAGAAATGTACTGTACTGCTGGGGGAAAACAAATAGTCAGAAAGTGGAAAATGTGTATATGTACATTTTCATTACAAAGAAGTGGTTACTTAACTGTTGTAAATCTTACTTTGCCATAGGTACATGTTATTTTACTTAAAAAAATTGAATGTATGTTTGTTTGTGTGTTTTCTATCTTCATACAAATTTATACACAAAGTAGTACATATATATTCTTTTTTTCTCTCTCCAGGGTTGACTGGTCAGACAGCACTGTAATTGTGCAGAAGTTCAGCTTCTTTTAAATATGTTGATTGAGAAATACACATTCTTCTTCTTAAACTCTTTGAACCTTTTAATCACTTCCCCCTAGATTTTTGCCTTTCAGATTTGGCATTCATTCGTGTTCTTAGTTTCTGTAGGTCTAAGGAGAGAGTGAGGGGTGTCTGAAATATATAAGTAATAAAATTAACGTGCACGCAGAGTGCACTCTTTACTCTCCATGGACATCTTCTTTTTGGCTCTTTTTCCATATATAGTTAATCTCTGGGGGAAAGAGAGATTAATTACTCTGTTAAACTGACATTCTGACTCCAAATCATCCGGGTTTTTATATACTTAAGCATTTAAGCTTAAACTCAAGTATTTCTATATCAGTGAGTTCTGTACTCTGTAGCCATAGTAAAACAGTTATTTCCCAGTATGTGATGGAAGGTTTATAGGATTTCGTTTTTGGATTTTTTTTTTTTTTTTTATAGCTACATCAGAAATAACATCATTATTAAAATGCTGTAAAAGCTGTTTGTTTTTTTTCTTGAATCCTCTCAGGTAAAATGTGAGAAATAATGCAAGCTTCAGGTTTCAGTAACATAATACAGATGAGCCCTGTTAATAAAGTAGAATAAAAGTTATAAGTTTTATTCTTTTAATGTGCCTAATGGTTTCCATTGAATCTTTTATAATCTGTTTTAGAGGACAATTAAAAATGTAATTCATTATGCACTTTGTTTTTGTTTTGCCATAACCTGTCCATATGTGTGTGGGGGCGGGGGAACAGAGAAAGGGCAAGAGAGGGAGACTTCTAGAGGGAGGTCCCTCTCTAGTAAGAAAGAACAAATTATCAAAGTTATTATCTATACTTATACTCCTGTTTCTATATCAGTTGTTGCTAAACTAACCTCTAATGCCTTGGACAGGGGTGACATAACAAAAGTTTTGCAAAATTTCAACCAAAATTTCATTTATAAATGACCTATAATCAATACCCTTTCTCTTACCAAAATGATTTGAAACTTGAATCATTGAAATGTAACTTGGACTTGAAATGTAAACAAAGGATACTTAGTGAACTTAGAATTCTTCTTCCCTACAGAGTTAGTTATTTCCATTCTTGGTATACATGTATATATGTACCTTGAGGACAGTGCAGTATAAGTTAATCTTCCACATAGTCCCAGTGGGGATCTGTGTTTCTGGATAAGTTATTCTTTAAGTGGTTGGAAATGATAGAATTCTAACAGGAATTCTTTTTATTCTTTTTGCAGCTATGTCATCTTATCTTTTAATTATTAAAACAGAGCTTCCTACTGCTATTTCAGAGTTTTTGCCTGGCGACTATAGTGGGTAAGAAAAAAATACGTCACATTGTGTCCATTTTTTTATTAATTCAATAAATATTAAGCGAGTGGAAAGTAAAACAAACGTAGTCCCTGCCCTCAAGACACTTACATCTTAGGCAGGAGCAGAGTAGCAATGGAGAAGCAAACACTCAGCAGACGGTTATTGATGATCCATTTTGTACAGAGCACTGTGCTGCGAACCCTCTGAGGTGCAGGTGGGACCCTTGCAGCTGGGCCAGGTGTGAGCTAGACCTTGGAGAAGAGCAAAGGGTGACAGCCGGGGCAGGTAGGAGCTAGGTCTTGGAGAAGAGCAAAGGAGACACTCCTGGGATATGCAAGGCTGGGCGGGGGGATGGAGGGAGACACAAACACTGAGAGTGAAGGCCAGCCAAGCATGGAGGGGATAGTGCCTCTGTCACTTTCAGCCAACCACAGTATAAGGATAAATCACTTTGGGAAAGTTACAGCCATACTTGTGTGAGATTCCTATTATAAAGCATGATTTGAAAAAATAAATTATTTTCAGGCACTGTTTTTTTTAACAATATTATAAACAATGCCAAGTCACATTATACCTTTTCTCCTTATTTTAAAAACACTGTTTTCTCAGTGACTCGTCTCTTTTTTATGGGGGGAAACACAGATTAATTATACTTTTCAACGATGTAGAACAAGAAAATTTGAGAAAAATAAACTCAAAAAGATAGAATAAATTATTTTGTTATCAAGTTATTTTACGTAATTTCTAAACTACAACAAAAAAGGCGGTCAGACTTTTAGATTTAAATATTTGGTTGTTTTGCTCCAGTATTTGAACTTTTTCTGGTTTAAAGGGCAAGTTTTCAAAATTTAGTTTTTAGCTTTTGTAACTTGGCTTTCTTGAAAGAGTTCTACTAAGATAACTGCAAATACATATTTATAAGGAAAGTATGGTATACTTTATTTTTCATTAAATTTATTGGGGTGACATTTGTTAATAAAAAGTATGGTATACTTTAGATCTCACTAAGGACTATCAAGAAAATGTGGTTGAAAAAAGATAGGTAGAAGTTCTTAATGATTTTCATTACCAGAAAAATTGTTTAGTACTTTATTAGTTCACAAGGTTTCCACATTCATTATCACACTTGATGCTCACAAGTACCTTGGTGTGTTTTTTTAACAAGTACCTTGTTTTATCTACAGCTGTTTTATAGTTACTTTTAAATTTCATGCTCTTAGTTTGATAAATAATTCCTATAAGAAATAGCTATGTGAAAATCACTTTTGTGCTTGCAGTAAAAATATCGCAGACAACTTCTGTTACTCAAGAAGTTCTATGTGATATATTTCTTTTATAACTCAGGGCTAAGAACTCAAGGCAACATGAGGTAAAATGAATGTTAAACTCAGAGTAAGGGGGTGTGTGTCCTACCCATTTCATATTCAGTAACTCAGGAAATTAACTTCTTTTCACCATGGAACTTAATTTTGAGCCTTAGTTTTCTGCAGCTGCTGTAATGGGGGTGCTGGTATCACCTTTTTAACAAAATGGTTGGGATGATGAAATAAAATACTATACGTACACATGCTTTTGTAAGTTGACAGCATAGTGTCAATATGCAGAATTAAAAGAGAAGAAATTTCAATAATGACTACATTAAAGATGATTTTTTTCTTATTTGCTCTGCTTGCCAGGAAGGTCAGAGTCAATTCTGAATGTGAATGTTTTGCATAAACTATGTTAATCCTAATTGTTGTCACACGTATGTGTTTTCCTTTTTCTTCGTGCTGAATTTCACATTTTTTATTTGTTATATGTGTTTGTGGAAAGAGGAGGGATAAAAATACATATTCAATTTTAGAAATAATTAAGGTAGCATATGACAGAACTGCTACTAAAACTTAGGTATTTTTTCTCTAAAAGTGATACTTTTACCATAGCTTCATTTAAATCAATTGCTATTTGCTTTTTTTTCTGGCTTGTTTAAAAAAATAAAAATTAACTCTCATCTTGCTTATGTTAGTATAAAATTGATAAAAATGTTATTTTTACATGTCACACATTGAGTTTTGAAAATTATATACATAAAAATACTGTGGCCAATTTGCATTATCTCTGTTATGATGTTTTAAAATTGCACATTTTAACAGCTTTGGGTTTAAAATCTAATATATATTTGCTTATTTTGGATTTCAAAGTTTTGGAAAAATTAGTAAGTGACTATATTGGTTAGAATGCAGATAAATCATTAGTCTTTAAAGCTTAATGCTGTAAAATAATTAAGAAACATGTTATGATAATTTACATAACTGTGTAGGGCAGTTTATTTCTGGGTAGGGTTACATAGCAATATTTTTTTCAATGAGATCAATCTGCTATTGATAGGCTTTTGTTTTAGAGTTTGATTTACAGTGACTTGCAGCTAAGATCTTAGGTGAGCTTATTTTCTGAGTCGTCTGTGAGATTTGATGTATCTTTGTGAAACATAAACCTTTACAAAGATGTTATTTAAAAGAAACTTTATGTTCATAATATACCAATTTAAAAATTACTATTAGAAGTCAGAAGCTATAACAGGTATACCAAACTATTATAAGACATCTATATTTTTCATAGGATAACTTATATTTTAAAAATCTATGGCTGTTAAAATTTGGAAGCGCTCTGTTAACATTTAATGATCTTGTCAGGGGAATATGATTGACCCAATTAAGTTGTCTTGCATTTGAGTTACAGAATTGATATGGGATGTGAGTTAGACCCTAATTCAGAACACATGATACTCTTGTTCCATTCCATTCGAGAATGAAATTAAAGCAACTTATAAATAAATCTGGTTTTCATTAAAATATGGGGGGAAGAAAACATCTGCATGCCAAAGCACTTGAAATACAGCTTAGGGTTTAGCTTCTATATTTCATACTTGGAACACTTTTATCATATAGGATTAAATCCACAGATCAAACAGGTTTTCTAGGAAGTGTAGTATAGAACCTTTTACTCTAATTCTATTAGCTTAAAGAGAGTGTATGTTTATATCACAGTAGGAAAACAGGGGCTCTCTTTGATAATTATTTTCCCCTGCTTAGGAAAGAACTTAAGATTAGGGTAGTCTTTTAAAATCTTGATTTATAAAATATACATACTTAATATGTGCTTTTTGAGATTTCTTTTTACTGGTTTGTATTTTAAAAGTTTATTCACCTCTGTGACATGCATGGTGAAATGTAAACTAACTTGGCTGTGTATTACTATATTGCCTTTATTGTTGACATTATTAATGTAACTTAATAAGGGGAAGAAATGATTAATAATAACCAGTAGCCACACAGGGATAGATAAATTATATTTTGAATAGGGTTTTTTAATTTTAGGAATTTAAAGTCATTCTAGTAAAGAGGAGAGTAAAGGAAGCACAGTCTTGAGAAAAATGAGGCAGTATCGGGAAAACACCATAAACTCAAAGTGACTCTTCAGGAGAGGGGAATATTTCCATTGCTTCTCCCTAAGATCACCCTCATTCCTCCCTAAGATCACCCTCATCCCTCTGCTGATTGTGCTGACATATGAGATGAAGCTGTTGAACCAGGTGATCTGTGAGGTCCCTTCCAGCTCTAATGTGCCATAACTCTGTGATTCTGAGTGACTGCTGGGAGGAGGTGAAGTCATCTTCAGCCCGCCAGCTCAGTGCTGGGGGCGGTCACATGGCTTCTCTGAACATGAGTGAAATTGTGATTTGAAATGATTTCAAAGTGTTCCTTTATCCTTACGCAAGAGAAAAGAGCCTGGTCCTGAGGATTAGCGTGCTCCCTTCACAGCTCTCCCTTCCTGACAGCAGGGACAGCAGCACCAACAGCTGGATTCTGCTCTGGCGCTCCTCTGGGCCTCTCTCCTCCTGGCGTTGCAACTGTCTGGGTCTGATACTGAGTCCCCGGGGAAGGCGATTTCAGGCACAGAGCCCTGGGCTTTTTGCCAGCTTAAGAAGTTTAGTTGCCAGGTGTTCCTCAGTGAGGGGTATTTTGCATTTCTCATTCTGATTCATACCTGGTTAAGGGTGGATAGAAGATGAACACACCGAATACCGTTTTGCTTTGTTAATATGTGTCCTCTCTGAGGCCTCCCTCCTACCAGGAACTGAGGGGCATGTGAAAATGCAGAGGGCACAGCTTCAAGTCCGTTAGACCTAGAAGTACTTGTCCATAAGTTTTCGTTTCTGGCACATGCATTTCCTAAAGACATGGATTAGGGTGGAAAAGGGCAAGTTGTGATCATGGCGCTATTTCTGCTGTTGTTCCTTCTGTCCTGTTAAAGAGGAAGCTGTTAGCACCCACAGTGCCCATTAAGGATACATTAGAGGGGACTTCCTCATAAACCAGATATTTCATTGTAAATATATAGAAACCCAACTGATTTCTGTATGTTGATTTTGTATCCTGTAACTTTACTAAATTTGTTGATTAGTTCTAACAGTTTTTGTGTTGAGTCTTTAGGTTTTTCTATATATAAGATCATATGATCTGCAAATAAAAACAGATTTATTTACTTCTTTCTTTCCAATGTGGATGCCTTTTATTTCTTTATATTGCCTGATTGCTCTGGCTGGGACTTTCAGTACCATGTTGAATAAGAGTGTTGAGAGTGGGTACCCTTGCCTTGTTCCTGATCTTAGAGAAAATGCTTTCAACCTTTCACTATTGAGTGTGATGTAAGCTGTAGGTTTGTTGTATATGGTCTTTATTATGTTGAGGTATGTTTCTTCTATACCCAATTTGCTGAGGGGTTTCATCATGAAAAGCTGTTATAGTTTGTCAAATGCTTTTTCTCCATCTATTGAGATGATCATATGATTTTTATCTTTCATTCTATTAATGTGCTGCATCACATTTACTGATTTTATATGTTGAGTATCCCTTCATTCCAGGGATAAATCCACTTAATCACATTGTATGATCCTTTTAACATGCTATTGAATCTGGTTTGCGAATACTTGGTTGAGAATTTTTGCATCTATATTAATCAAGGATATTGGTCTGTAATTTTCTCTTTTAGTCGTGTTTTTATCTGGCTTTGTATTAAGGTATGATGGCTTTGTAAAGTGAGTTTGGAAGTGTTCCCCCCCTCTTCAATTTTTTGAATGAGTTTGAAAAGGATTTACATTAATTCTTTTAAATGTTTTTGTAGAATTCACTAGTAAAACTATCTGGTCCTAGGCTTTTCTTTTTGGGGAGGCTTTTGATTACTGATTCAATAGCCTTACTTATTATTGGTCTGTTCATATTTTTTATTTCTTCAGGATTCAGTGTTGGTATGTTGTATGTTTCAAGGAATTTATCCATTTTCTTGATAGAATATGGCAGTGGGACACTTTGGTTATCTGATAGAGACAGAGGTTGATTATCACCAACTTAGGATTCTGAGAACATCTGCCAAATTATTTGAAAAAGTAATCCCTATTGTCTTTGATGCTCCTGGCTCCCATATTAGTATGGATTTTACTTTGTTATTGTTGTGCATTTACATATATAAATATATATGTTTCAGTGTAAAAATGACAGCTTTATTACAGAAAATTTAGAAAAGAAAGTGAATAAAAATGATACATAATACCATCTCTTGTCTAATCACTGTTATCTTTTAATTTCCTTTGAATTTTTCCACAAAAGCTTTTAAAAAACATAACAAATAATAATACATCTTGTATTTCTGTGATTACCATTTTCCATTTTACTAAACTCTCTTTTTAAAAAAGCTGCACAGTATTTCATTGAGTATGTTGTTATTGACATTTTCTATTGTTGGATATATAGAATTTCCCCCAGCTTTTTAATATTATAATAATGTTGCATTCACAACTTCATGCATGTAGAATTCTTTATATTTTAGATTATTTTTTAGAGTAGATTACCACATTTTCATTGCTCTTGCTACATATTATCAGTGTTTTCCCCCAAGATAGTGCTAGATTGACAAGGTCACTAGCAACATGTGAAGGACCAATTATGCTACATCCTCAAATATTATGTTTAAAATAATTTTACTAGTTTAATTTCAACAGCCTCATTATTTCTTTCTTTAATTGCATCAGAGATTGGATTTTTTGTCATGTGTATTCACTAGGTGTACTTTCATGAGTTGTTTGTCCTTTACATACTGAAGTAAAGTCTTTACTATTAAAGTCTTGGGAAATTAACTCTTAACTTTTTAAAACTTCTGCACAGGTATTTTATATTGAAAAATTAAAATCATATATATGCAAACAAGGAGAAAATAAAATTGCTCATATTGCTACCACATAGAAATATCTACCTTTTGTATTTTAAGTATATTCTTCAGATTTTTAAAAAATGTGCACTCAGTTTTTTAAAATAATTAAATACATCATCACATTTTAAACCTATCTTTTCTAATTCAACATTCTAATGACTTTATATGAAAATGTTATTAATTTTTTTGTCCTTTCCTGAAAATTTGAAAATTATAAACTATAAAGAAGAAAAATTACCCATTATTCTACTGCCCAGAGATAATGGCTGTTGGTTTATTGCAATTCCTTTATATTTTTAATGAATCTATATTCTTCCTCAAAATTGCTATCATGCTCTATATATATGTTTACTGAATATTCATTATATTATTATGTCTATGAAATGACCTTTTATGATTGTACCATGGTTCCATAATTTATTTTTAAATTGTCATGGTTTTAGATGTGTGTTTCCAGTGGTTATTCTTTTAAATGTTTTCAAAAAACATCTTTTTACAAAAATTTTTGTTCTTGTTACTGATTGTTTCCTTATTTTTAAAACTTAAAAAAAAATATTTTTTATTGATTTCTAGAAAGAGAGGAAGGGAGAGGGAGAGAGAAACATTGATGTGAGAGTGAAACATCAGTTGGCTGCCTCCTGCAAGCCCCCCACTGGGAGTCAAGCCCGAAACCCGGGCATGTGCCCTGGCCGGGAATTAAACCGGTTACCTTTTGGTGCATGTGATGACGCTCAACCAACTGAGCCACACCAGCCAGGGCTGTTTTCTTATTTTTAATGGTCTTTTATAAGTGTTATGTATTTGAAGGCTCTCATTATCTATTGCCAACTTGCTTTTCAGAAAGGTGATATACAAAATTTTTACTTTCACCAGTTTTGTGCACCTCATCACTCCTCAGCAGCATTGACTATTATCTTATTTTTTAAATTATTTGCTAATTTGGTCATTGAAAAATGGCATTTCATTGTTTTGATACATTTTTAAAATATAACTTCATTAGTAAGAATATCAGAATCCTACACACACACACACACACACACACACACACATTTTAACAAAAGGAAGTAGGCTTTTCGTGTGTGTGTGTGTGTGTGTGTGTGTGTGTGTGTGTGTGTACCCAAACACTGGAGTCCTGTGCCTAAAACAGAACTTTTTTTCTAATAGGTCTTGGTATCTTGACGGACAAACACTACTAATCATCACTTGTGTTGTCATTGTGTTCCCTCTGGCACTTCTTCCTAAAATGGGTAAGTCTTTGTTGAAGAAAACATTATTTGTTTAAAAGAAAGAACAGAGAAAGAAAGAAAATAATATTAAGGGGCTTTGAAAGTTCACAGTACCACATTTTCAGCAGAAAGGTGGTGGTTGTTCGTAGTTTTGAACTTGGACTTATTTTAGGTTGTTCAGCCTTCAGCCCTGTCTAGTTAACCTATCACTTGGTTTGCAGTAGTATTTTGTCTGCCCCACTAAAATAAAATCTTTACAGCGGAACATTAAAGAGCAGCCTTTCCTTACAGTGTGCCATTAGTGGTAAGCCAGTTCCAATTCTGCCGTACAGAGCTGCGTAAACGGCCTGTGACAGATAGCTGGAATGTTATTCTCGGCCCCGAGCCCCAGACACCAAGCGCTGTAATAGAAAACATGCCCAAGATGTATAGCTTTAGCTGTATGTTAGGATCATTTTCCTTATAAATTGCTTTTTATTTTACTGTTATTTTACAGGCTTTCTTGGCTACACAAGTAGTTTATCATTTTTCTTTATGGTGTTCTTTGCTCTTGTGGTAAGTTTAAAATATAGTGTATTACTTATCTCCTCACTAAAATTCAACTCATTGTCTTAATGTCTTTTTTTCTTTTAACTCTTTTGTTTTGGGGAGGTATCCCACTTTATTTCAATGTGTTATTCAAAAGCGCTTTATTTCAAAAAATTATTTTCTTCATTTTATCTGTTTTGAAGAGGTTTAGCTAGACCAGCATTTCAAGTTCAGTATCACTTGTGGTTAATTAGAAAGGAGAGCACGCCAGTTCTGTTAAAACCTTAGATGGAGTGTAATTCTTGGTGTAGGTTGTGTATCACTTTATTTCAGTACAATACTCTGTGAGTGTGTGTGTGTGTGTGTGTGTCTCGGGGTACTCAAGCATGAGAATCAGTCTGGTTTCTAATCTGTAAAATAATTTGACACTAGTTATTTAATTATGAAACTTTGTTCCATTAATGAAGCAAGAGCTTCTGGGACGTAACTGTTGAGATCTAGTAGGAACTGGGATGTCTGGTATATTCAGTATAGATAAGTTCTCATAAAACTACTACTGCAGAGAAACTGGTGTATTCAATATAGATAAGTTATCATAAAACTACTACTGCAAAGAAATATTTTTCTTTACATGTGTAATATGTTTTTTCTTACTTTAAAAATTAGCTTATTTTATTATAGGAAAAATATCAGATGGTAAACTTAATTTACTATTCATAAAATAATTTAATATAAAGATAAAAGAGAATTTGAATTTCTTATTTCCTTCTAATTCTTCTAAAACAGATTTTAACCTCTCAAAGATAGTATCTCTGTGAAATTTTGAAAAAGTTTTTTTTCTCTTTGCGTAGCAGTTTATTCCACAGTTTCTGTCAAACCTTAAGTAGGATTAAACATTTTAAACTTGCCAAAAGAATATATATTTAAATGGCTTGATTAAACTTTTAAATTCATAAGCTGATTAAATTCTCCCTTATTAATGAGAAATGAGTAAAAGAAAAATGCCACCTAAAAGAGCAAGATACTACGTCAGTAGTTAAACCATATTAAGTAGCCAGATTTCTGTGCTGTCCAAACAATCTAAGAAGCGTTTAACTTAGTCTGAGCTGATCTTCTGGGATACAGGGATAAAACAACTCCAGATCACTTTAATGAGTAGAAGCGACATTGGTTTCCGTGTACAAAAAACAATTATACTTTAATGAATGCTCTTAAAACTCAAAATACTCAGCAATTTTACATTTAATCATTTGTCGAATTTATCAACATTGTCCTCCCTCTTCAAATTGTCTGACTTGTATCTTACAAGTGAATTGAACATACACTTTCTTTTATTTTTCTTCTTCCAGCTTTATTGAGATATAATTGCATACAGCACTGTATAAATGTAAGGTGTCCAGCATAATCACTTGACTTATATATATTGTGAAATGATCATCACAGTGAGTTTAGTTAACATCCATGAACATACATTTTTTTAGGCCCCACAATGAAGAGGGAAACAACAAAATATTTTCATCATAATTTGATTAAGAAGCATTTACATGGTTAGGAGTGGCCTATGTATGCAAATGAACATATGGATATTAACAAGAATCCATATAGTTAATGAATTTTTTTCCTCCCAGATAATTGGCATCCTAAACTTTGCATAGGTAGGAGTAGTTTGATTTTTATTGCTGATAGTTTGAAGCAGGTGAAATGTATTGATACAATATGTCTATTGTACATAGTTTTCACTGGATTAATTTCTGTCATTGCAGATACTCTTTAATTCGATGCAGGTTTCTACTGTAGCAGTCATATGGAAATAATACCCTTACTGTAATGCTTTACAAACCATCTGCTCATATTTTTACCTGTGAGCACAATTTAAATTTGGTCTAAAGTGGGAAGATGAAGACACTGTGCACTTTTTTTCAAATTCCCTTTTTAATTGGCATATTTATTTTAGAGTTGCTAAGTATTAGGTTTTGAATATATAGTGGTAAGGGAAAAGGCATGTGTATGTATTACCACAATTTTTTTTAAAAGATGCCAATTTTTCATTAATTGTTTTTGTCAGTTTTGTAAATGTGTTTGTAAATCTGTATAACATTTAGATTACATTAAAAAATCCAGAAAACAATTATTTTCTTAAATTATGCTCTACAAAACCTATACTCTTATCTGTTGCCCCACATCCTTGTTTAGCATAAAATTTTTTAGCATAAATTATGCCCCCTCTGAAATATCTAAAATTAAAAAAACATTTTATTTTAGCAGTGGCGTAGAATGACTAACCAGATGGATTTACCTTTTTGGTCCATTTTAGAACACAAATGTATTTCCATTTTTTCCAAAAGTTCTGCCTTGAGAACAGGTTAGTATTCTAAGAAGTATTTTAATAAGTCAGAAATCAAAATAAAGAACTATTTGAATGTATTTTAGTCGGAAGCTTTCCTTCTACTGAGCACTGTGTTAGGCATGTGGGAGTTTAACCTGGACACAGCTCTTAAGGATCTGTCAGTGTAGGAGGCGAGATAAGATAAATGTATTAGAAAAAGTAGAGAACAGTATAGGTAATATATAATTAAGTATTGATTTATTTGCTTCAGAATAAAATTTGCAGGAGTTAAGGGTCTGAGAGCTAGAGTAAAGAAGGTTGTGTAAGGAAGTAAACTTGAGCTGAGCACTGAAAGATGGGAAAGACTGGGAGAAGAGTGATGGAAGGGAAGGGCCTTTTGTGCACATGAAAAGTATTTTTAATACTTAATCATCTTTTTCCATCTACCTTTCTAACCCCTGGAATTATCCTTTACCATATCCTATCTTCACCCTGAGCAAGGACTCCCTGTTACTCTTGTCACTGGGTATTTTTCCATTCTGGTTCTGTACTTCTGCTGCGTAGGACATCACCCCTACCCACCCCAATCCACTGTGCAGGCTTGGGGTTGGGATGGATCTCTGCAGAGAAATTAGCTGTAGTAACTAATTTTATATTAATATAAAATCAGGTTACTAATGATATCTTCTAATGAATGAAAAATAATGGTTATATTTGCATTTTGAGCACTGTTTTTGAAATATATTGATTTGCAAGTCTAGTGACAAAGTAAATGAGGTAGCTCACATACTGACCTTATTGCAATACCTGGTACACAGCAAATGCACAATAAATGGTTGTTGCTGCCACCACCCCACTGTTAGTGAGGAATAAAAGGAAAGACACTGAGCTTGGAGCCGGGCTGAGGAGACTAGCTTCTACCCCACCCATATATCTCCTGTTTTGGAAAACATACCAAGAAAAAGATGGTGAGATTATTGCTTTTAATTTTTTTTCTTTTCTCTTGGTAAGTTGACCATTTAGTTTTATTACATTTTAAAAACCTATCTAGAAATGTCAAAGCAATTTTCCTGATTTATCCTTATAATTCCCCCAGCACCACCCCCTTGGGGAGGGTTTTAATTAAGAGTCTTTCTTTAGTGTACTCATTAACTTAATCCTAAAGGTGTATGTTTTCCTTAGATTTGTTTTATCACTATATAAAATCTCGGTTGAATTAGTTTAAATCCAAAGCTAGATAAATACCAAGTAGCAATAGGAATAGGAGCAGTATTTACTTACTGGTCTCCTGCAAAGGACAGGCTTCTTCTATTCTCCCTGCCCCTCTGTGTGCTGGGTTTCAGCCTAGAGCAAACATTTACAGAGTAATTATGTGCCCAGAAACAAGGGCAACAATGGCAGTGTTGACACAACCACAACTATAGGTCTAGGAACAGGATGCCCACAATGAAAAGTAAAATCCTGAAGGAAAAAAGGAAGAAATAAAAGTAAAATTCTGAAACATTTTAATTGATTATTTCTGGGAAATGGCATCCCTCGGGATTTTTTTTTTTAATTTATTTTTGACAGCTGGGGTTCCCTAGCCACGTGCCCTTATTCTTAGCCAGTTTTATGTGCATTCACTGAAAGCAATGTAAGTCTGAAAGAAACAAGGAGAGACAGTACTTATATGTCAGAAGTCTCTGAGCCCATCCTTTGCATAAGGTCTCCTTCTGCCTGTGGCTATCTCCAAAACGGCTGTTAAAATTTCTCTATCTGCTACTGATGCCAGGCCCACAAATAACCATAGTCTTGTACCATTGTCACTAAAAGCATCGTGCTCTCATTTTGAGTTGCGCTTGTTTTTACTGCCTTGATGCTATTGGAGTTTTGAAAGTTGACATGAGAGTACTCTGTCTTTAACGGGGAAGGTCCCCACTAAACAGATACGTAGCACCCAGCCTCACCCCCCCCCCCAGGCGACCCATCCTAACTGGGGGAAATCATACGAGCAAAGAATCCTCTGTTAGCCAGCATGTGGTTTGGCATGGTGTTAGATTAATTGAAATAATACTGACCTGTTTGAAATCAATTTCGTGTCATGAGTTTTATAAGAAATAATCTAGTGTTGATTCTACTTATTCTTACAGATAATAATTAAAAAGTGGTCCATCCCTTGTCCTCTGACATTAAATTGTACAGAGCAGTATTTCCAGGTAATAGTTTATGTTTTCTTTTCAGTTTCTTTCTTTTTATTTTAAGCTAAAAAGAAAAAAAAAATCAGACTAATATCCTTTTTCCTAATAAAAGGAAAAGTGATGACTAGATTGCATTTGGAACTTTATTTTGAAATATTTTTATTTGAAAGCCTGGTAATAATAAATTCATAATGTTTGTTGATGTTTTCTGACTTTTAATGACTGTTGGTTTCTCTTTTTCCCCTCAATCCTCTTAAACAGATTTCAAATGCTACAGATGATTGTAAACCAAAGCTCTTTCATTTCTCCAAAGAGGTGTGTAAGTTATTAACAGATACTTTTGGTTGATTTTTCACATTTCAACTTTTAAGAGATTTGTGTAACAGGGTCTCTTAGGTCTTTGTACCTGTAACTAATTAATTTTCATGAAAGTGCTAAGTATAGGGTTGCCTACCAGAAGAATAATATTATTTAACACAGGGTGGCCTATTATGAAACAGCCACCTTTTTTTTGGCATGCTTTTAAATGGAGCCTGTTTTAAATGGGCAACTGCCTAAAAGAACAGATTTACTAAATGTCTGGTCTGGCCAATAAGGTCCTCTGTGGATACAGACTTCCTGTTGCCCTCTGGACTTGTAAAGCTAAATAGCCAATTATATCAAAAACTCCTCCCTTGTGAGTAGAACCTTGGTCTGTAGCAAAACGGCCTCATCATTGGACCAGCAATTGAGCACTGCCAGTATGTCTTCTGGCAGACATTCCAGAGTTGAAATTTATGATGCCTTAAGTGGAAACTAGAAGACCAAGTCCCCTGGCCTTCTCTGAGAGCCCCAGGATTTTGAAAATGTCTGCGAGAGCCCCTGGCATCAGCATAGGCGACAGGAACTGTGATCTGGGTAATCTCTGTCATTCTGGAAGAGCTAAAAGTCTTCCCTGTTGCTGCAAGTTTCTTCATCTATACTTTCTGATTCCGCTAAATGCAGCTTCCAGTTACTAGAATCCCCTCCACTCATGTACAACTCTGTCAGTGTAGCATGTTGGTGCAGTAACTCCTCCATGCAGAATTTTCCTTTTTATCCACAATTTTTACATGAGAAATGTCTCTCTGGCCCCACAAGGGAGGTTACCACATCTCACAGGGTAAAGGCCTCTGTGTGCCTTGAAGATCTAGGTAGGATAATTGACAAGCCAGGAAATTGAGCAATATATGAAAGAGAATTTGTGAATTAAAGTCTCATTCCCCTAATCCAGCCTCAGGAAATACTACAGCTTTCCTTCCTCCCAATTCCCTTCAAATATTTGAGGAAGCATTATGTCCCAAGATAGGTCTCAGTCATCTGGAACTTCTTTTGCTGAAGAGCTTGAAGTTAGTAGGGGAAAATTTTTTTAGAGCAGAGAAAAGAAAGTAAATCATCTCCATCCATTTTGTAGAAACAGTATTTTCATTTAGATAGTAACTTTTGTTTGCTTTGTAACTATCTCTGGCTTGTAAATATTCTAATTTTTAAAAACAAGTTAGGTTCATGAATTCCAGTGGATCTCTAAGAATTTGCCAGTCTAGAATAAAGCATGTTCATTCTCATTGAAAGAGAACCTAGGCAAAGATGCTGAGATGCGATTAATATTTTCAGTATTTCCTTAGATTAAATTGGTGATATTGCCTTGGATTGAGTTGGTAAAAGCGGTTTCAAAAGCATTAACGATTATTTCCGCTTAGAGTAGTAAGATGTCTTTAAGTTTCCTAATGCATCTATTAGGAGAGACTGAGATTTACAGTAAGATTATTTCTAATATGTTATTATTCTGAATTTTACCTAAATATTATTTTCTCATCTAAACTATTTTTATCTTACCCAAATAATGTATGAACAGCAGCTATTGTAGTAAAAGTAACATGCTATATAGAAGCCAAACAAGAAATATCTGGCTAGGACAGACAGCCCATCTATCAAGGAAAAGATTTGCTGATTACCATAATTGTGTCTCTCTTAGAAACAACAACAACAACAAAATCCACACTAAATAAAACCTTATTTTATAAAGATGATTTATGAAAAATGAAATAAACTTAACCCAGTTGATTTTTTGAAGAACTGAGCTTCTTGTCAAGTGAAGTAGTGGTTTCAACAGAGTAGCATTTAGTAATTTTGTCTTTGAATTTTTTTTCAGAGTGCTTATGCCATACCCACCATGGCCTTCTCATTTCTCTGCCATACCTCAGTATTGCCCATATACTGTGAACTTCAAAGGTACCATAGAATCCTGGAATATTTTCAATGTATTAAGTATGTCTTTTTACTTTTAGGCCTTTCAGACTGAATGACACTCTCCTTTATGAATCCTTTCCCTCCATCACTGGATTCTAAGGGTCAGTTTAGAACAAAACAAAACAACCGAGAATTAATTCTGTCCAAATTGAGAATGTTTCCTGGAAGCGTAATCTTTGTGCAGTAATTTCAAATCAGAAATTCTAGTGTGGAATAACTAATGAACTAGGTCTTGAATGGTTAAGGAATCCTTTTGACTAGCTTGGAAGACTTATTTCTATAAATATAAATCAGATCACTGATTCTACTTCTGCCATTTTTGTCTTTTAGCCCTTCAAAGAAAAGAATGCAGAATGTAACCAATACAGCAATTGCTTTAAGTTTTCTCATTTATTTTATATTGGCACTTTTTGGGTACCTCACTTTTTATGGTAAGTATATTATTTAATTATAGATGACAAAATAAATGGTTCTATAGTTGATCTCACAGTTGAATATGAACTTTGTTTCTGCCTCTCATTATTAAGTTAGTTTGTTCAGGCTGCCAGAACTCGCTGCAATACTGTGGTGGCTCTGTGGGCCTAAAGAATTGATTTTCTTTCTCTTATAAAGGTAGATCAAGTTCAAGATTAATAACTTTGTATGCAGATTTCCTTTAACACCTGAATAAAACCTTAGGCATAGGGACATTGATGTCTTTCTGCAAGAAAAGTGTGAAATATTTTAGAATGGATCTTATTTTCAATACATCAGACTCTAGTTCAGCAGTTTGGGAGAACTGGTCATCTTAACTGCAGGACGAGTTGAGGAAGGAAAGGGTTTTACACTGAAATGTAGTTGTTTGCTTACATGTCAGAGGTCTCTGCCTTCGCACTCGACTCGTACAGTTCCAGGACCTTTCTTCATACTTTTTAAAAGGATTCTTTCAAATTCATAAATTAAAAAAGTAAATGTTTTTTATTTATTTTTGAAAAATTGTCTGCTTGGTATGTGTTTTTTTTCTCTTCTGATAAGAACCTCAAGAAAAAGTAAAACTTAAAAGTCTAGAACAAGATTAAAAAAAACCTGTAAGCTCTCTTATTTAATTTGAAAACAAACACTTTATAACAAATTACACTTAATTTGTCAAACTCTTCAGTATACTTTTCAGTTATGATGCTTTTATAACAACTCTCCACGTAAATGGCTGTTATTACTTGGTGATAGTTAGCTGTTGTGACTGATTTCACAGTTGATGGCCTGTGCTCCTGTTTCCGGTTTTAGCCATCCCTGATGACTTGTAACAGGGCTTTGCTTATGTCTCAGAGCTTGTCCACAACCCACAAGTTTTTGGACAACATTTACTTGCATAGCCACCTTTCCTAAGCCGGGTGGAAAGAGTATAGATTTTGAAATCCAACAGATGGGGTTTAAATAACTGCTCTGCTCTAAAGAGCTGTGTGACTTTGAATGGAATACTACACCTTACAGTATCTTCATCTCCTAATTGTCACCCGGCACAAATACTATTATACTTAGGAGTGTTCAGCGTTGAAAAAAAATCCAAAAGATGGTGTTCCTTCTTCCCCCTGTGGATAAATAGAACTATCTGGAAGAAACCTCAGGTGGCCTGCAAGTCCCCAGGATAGCTGAGAAATAGTTACATAAATTACCAGGGGATGCTTAGGAGCTGTATTAAATGGAAAGAGAGGTGGAAGAAGGATGGGTGCTAATACATTGATGGAGCTAATATTTATTATGTAAGTGCCAGGTGTTTTACATACATTGCCTGCCTCAGTCCTTGTAACTCTGCAGGGTATAGGTTCATAGAAGTTGAGTAATTAGGCCAGCTAATGAATAGTAAGTTGGGATTTGAATCTAATTCTAACTCTCTCCAAAGTTAATGCCTTTATCGGCTACCTCCTCAGGAAATATGTTATAGAACCCAGATTTCCTTCATTCCAAGTTTTTGTCTAAGTGGACTTTTGGAAAAACCTGGCTCATTATCTATCTGTCTCGGTCTATCTATCTGTCTCGGTCTGTCTTATCCATCCACCCACCCACTGATGCTTGAACACAGAGGCTAACCATTTTCATTGTGTAAATGTAATGTTTACTACACAGGGATTTTCCTGATTATCAAGTAAAGGTGTTATGTTGTCTCTGACTTAACCCTTCTCTGCCAATGCAGATTCTTCAGAGTATCCACATTTTATATAACGGAAAAATGCACATCTAAGACAAGTCACGTGGCAGATAGGCAGGCAGGTAGGTGGGTATGTAGGTAGGTGATAGATAGATAGATAGATAGATAGATAGATAGATAGATAGATAAGTAGATAAAAATAAAGAAAAGGAATTTCTTCTCCAAAGACAGAAGCTTCAGATACTGATTTGCTGTTCACAGTGTTTCATTTTTGGGTTGTTAATCATAACCAGGGAAAATACTTTATGGTATATTTCTATCTGTACAACAGTAGTGCTCAGTCTTTTGGAAATAAATAGCTAATTAAGTCTGAGACCATAATCAGAAGGGCTCATCACAAGTTAAGGCTTCAACTCATTTTATAGATGAGCAACTAAAGCCCAAAGAGGTAAAGGGACCAGTCACATGATTAGTGGCAGGCCTCCTGCATACTAATCCCATGGTCTTTCCGCTGCTCTGTGGTATCTTTATAAACTTCATACCAGTTTGACAATGTGTATTAAACAGGACAGCCTCCTGACTTCAATAGCATACACAACTTGCAGAGATCACCATCGGGTCCTTACTGAGATTTGTAGGGATTTGTCTGAATCCAGAGAAGCGTGTCATACTCTATTCTTTACATATGGTAAGGCTCAGCTAAGAACACAGAACTGTCGGGCTCAGAGGAAAGCTTTAATCCTGGGAAAGTAGGAAGTGGACATGCAACAGATATTTTGAATATATAATAAATCTAATTCTTCAGGAGCTGCTTGGGATTCTTTCATTCAGGGCTTCTAAGGCTTAGTTAATACTTAAATTTTGTCAGATTAAAGAGACCTATGAGTATGTACCTAGATTACTCATATTGGCTCTCATTACAGATGTTAAAGCATTTTAAGGTGAGGGGAAAAAAGGGTTCCTCTGGTGAGCCAGGCCAATGCCCAAATGTTGCATAATAACCAGACCATGTAAAAAGTCTATGAGGTTGTTAAGCAATAAGTGTTAATAGCTCATTTTTATGATTCAGAAAGTAGAAAAAAAATAGTTTGCCATATTTCTCCAAAACTCACAAGTACCTCACAGATTTGGGAATAGAATTCAACTTTAACCCCCTGCTTAGTCCACAGTTCCGCACTGTGTAAAGTGTATCTTTGATAATGCAGACAGTTAGTTTTCCATGATCACTAGTCTGGTCCAGATCCGCATTACCTCTCAGTGATTATGACAGTTGCCTTCTGCTATGCCTGTTTTGGATCTCTTTTTCAACCAGTCTGTCCTCCTGCTTAGTTCAGATCATAATACACTGTTCTTCATAGGTCATTGCATCTCTGTGGCCTACCAAACTGAGCCCAGACCCTACCACAGAAGAGTTCCATTGCTGGGTCTCAAACGCATTTCCAGCCTTTTCACCCACTGCTCTTGCACTAACTACAGCACAGTCTACTTCAGCCGTTGTGGTCCTTCTGGAATACTTGTTTTCTCAGATGCATATTCCCTCTCCTGCTTCAGGGCTTCTTCTTGTGTTGGTTCTTGCTCCTAGAATCTCTTCCCCATGTCTTTGAGTGTCAGCACACACACATTAATTCATTTAATGCTCTCAGTAACTCTATAGGTCAATATATTATTGTCTCCATTTTACATATGTAAGAACCAAGGGACTCAGAAAAGTTAATTTACTATTAAGTAGTGGGATTTGAACATTAGTCTGTGTGGTTCTAGATTTCAAACCCCCTCTCCCATCCTGCTGCCCACTACATTATGAGGCCCCTCCCCAAGCCTTCCTGGGTCTCCTTGCTTGTCCCAAGGCCATAGTTACCGTTCTGTGTTCAGAATCACCGTAGCTATTTGTTTAGACCTTCTTCTGCCATTATGTGTGTATCTGTGTTTATACACTATTATATGTGTGTGTGTGTCGTCTGCCCTTTAAATTTTAAGTTCCTTGAAAACAGAGGTGTGCTTGATTTGTTTCTTATTTCCTCCAAAGCATCTTTTCCAAACCATACACATTCAAATTAAAAAAAGCACCATTCCATTTTAAGTACAAATTGATCTTTTCCTACAAGGCAGTGATCTGCAGTGTTCTTAAACACCCACACTTGAATACCCCTTGTCTGGCCTGGGTGTGGAAAGTGTGAGAATGGAGGAACATCATGGAGCGAGGCATGGTTAGCATGTGCAGATTCTGTCACCCACTGCCACACTGGCTTGCTAAGTAAGCCAGCTTCCTAAAATGTTTATGAAAGATGAATCTACAGATGAAATGTTGATGAAGCTGGTAATGTGCACAACTCTATGAGACTAGAAAAATTGTCGTATTGAAGAAAAGGTACTGGCTTTGGCACCAAAAAACAATTGGGTGTACGACTGTGCCAGCTCTGCCCCTATGAGCTACCAATCTCTTATTATCATATGGATCAAATTCGGTAGACATACACATGAAAGCACTTTACAAAACAAACAGCACAAATGTTCAAAACCTTCAGATTGTGGAAAAGCTCTAAAGAGGGATTTTATATATGTATATTTATTGTAATAATTTAGGTTCTGCCTGTGCTGATTTCTAGTTTCATTAAAAGAAGAGATTGTGGGTTTCAAGAAGATATTTAACTAATGTCTCTTTGTTTCATAGGAGAGAAAAAAGGCCAGAGATTAATTGGGTACTGAGAATCCAAAATCTATTAAGATCCCTGTGTGCAAAGGAAAATAATTTTGCTGTTATTGATATCTTAGTAGTTTTTAACGTGATCCTTATTGTTATTTTTTCAAATTTACAGACAAAGTGGCGTCTGATATACTCCAAGATTATAGTAAATACTTGCCACATGATGTTGTTGTCAGGACTGTGAAGTTATGCATACTGTTTGCTGTGCTTTTGACAGTCCCTCTAATCCACTTCCCTGTAAGTACCCTTAAAGGTTTTGTTGCCTGGTGTACAGCTCCCTAATGTGGCAACACTAATTCTTTGCAGACCAGAATGTTTGAATGCCGTGTAGCCTTGTGTATCTCATTCATTTGCTAAGTAATTGATCAAAGACCTCATACTTGCATGTAGCCCCATGAATGCACTGAAATAACAGTGAACCACTAAGCTAATTTGTGCTTTTTGAGATTTAGTTTAGATTTACGCTTTCCCACAGCATTGTTTCCAATTTAAAGACTATAGTTCTTCTAAGGTTT